ATATAAAACGCTTAGGGCGCTTAGGATAATACGTTTGGACTGAGTCAACGAATTCTAAAGGTTTGATCCATTCTTTAATTTTCTTCTTGCCGTGCATTATTAGAGAAACCACCTTTATATATATATAAAGCAATATTAAGTTGAGAAAATTTTCTATTATCATTTTTGTCTACCTGTAGCACATTTCGGCTCATATCGTTGAGCCCGTCTACAAAGGTATACTGTAGGGTGTCTTTGTCTTTTAAAATATGTTCCACCTGCTTGTAAACGCTTGGCGCAGGTACCTGTAGTNTCTTTTAAAATATGTTCCACCTGCTTGTAAACGCTTGGCGCAGGTACCTGTAGTAGCTCCTTATGAGTCATTAGAGCCGCATGTTCTTCGGTAAGCTGACACAATTTCGCCATAGAGTGCACTAAGTGTGGAAAATCCAACGTATAATGAAATACATACATTGTCAGTTGCATATCGAGTGCAAATTGATGTAAAAACTACAAGAATATAACAAAAACATGAAAGTTTATATTTTATAAAATTTTGCACACAACGCTAACCTTTGCCAAATACGGCAGGCAATCATGCATCGTTTCGTCCAACTTAAAATCTTCATAAAGCAAGTGGAAACCATAGAAGATGGCTGGTATAGTGTTGAATAAACAAGCGCTTGTATCGACATTGCTCGCCACAGCCGCAGTCGCTATTTGCTCCGTTTCCATCTTCATGTTGGCGCTCACACCGCCGCTACTACCAGCGCCATCTTCATTGAGCACAGCCAGCATGAATTCCCAATCCTCATTGGTACCTTCAGTGATTTCATCATTTTTGCGCCGCTTTTTCGGTTCTTCTGCATTGAAAGAGGCCGACACGTTGGTGGTGGCCTCATGTGTAGCCGCACCACAGCCCATTAAATCAGTTAGTAGATTACGAAAAATATGCCACTCCTGTTCANGTGGGCGTCACATTACCTGCGCCAGAACATACGCTGGTGCTGCCCATAGCTGCAGCTACATGTACTTTAGCGACAAGCACTGCACCCGTATATAATATCAAACTGCCAGAGGGATCCAAAACGGCAATCATGCGTAGGCGCTAAGATTGTGGAATTTCAAAATTTTTGAATTTTTAAGCAGTATAGAAAGTACCTCTAAAGAAACCGCATCCTTGGCTGGAATGGATAAACATTTATGGGATATTTGCAAATCCTTTGTGCCATAATTGCTTAGCCGGACGAGTTGCAGTTTGCACGAAAATGGTAGCAAGTAGCAGAGGTAAGTTTGGGCCACTAGGTCAGTGTGTATGAAAGCACGACTAGAGATTTCACCGAATTCGCGGTTCGTACTAGATGGAAAGCGTAAGTAATATGAATTCGTAAAGAAATGAATACTTAGACGCACTTGCCATATGTGGTTTCAGTCCACATATGCTCCAAACATAATTCCGGCACTATGGGTTTTGAAGGTTGAGCCTGACCCACTTTTCGTATGTCTTGCATAGATATTGAGTGTTGACCGATTGATGATTGTAGATGATTCAAAGGCGGAGCAGTCCGACTTAAAAAAATAATTAGGAATTAAGGAAACTATTTTAAAATTGATGTACATATATAACTTATTGACTACTTATTCATATGTATTATAGGCCGTTAGGGTAAAAATTATGTAAAAAAGCTTTTAGTATTAATTTAAAATATATTTAAATAAAATTTCTTAAAATTACTAATTATGTCTGTCATACTAACTTTAAACTTCCGAATACTCCGCTCAATGAGTGAGCACTAGACAAAAACTTGCCAATATGCGCCGAATAGTTAGGATTTCCTAAGCTGGAACGTCCTAAATGTGCTGTACTGTGTTTTGACGTAGCTGAAAACCATAAAAATTAAATAGAGGGACTCACTTTTGCTGCACAAAACTTGCCTGGACCGCCAATACCTCCAGCAGCACCCCGATTTATAGAATTATGTGGCAGTCCGCCGACAATGCCAGTGAGCGCAGTTTCATTTTGCGCACTCACATACTGTATTTCCTCCTCAGTTGCCTTCCGAAGTCGTGAAATAAATTGTTTTCCAATTTTGTTGTCATACAGTAGTACCAGCTCTGAATTCTCCGAAGTGAATATTATGCTATAATCGGACTCTACAAGATAACCAACAACATTTGTAGCTGATTTGCAGAGAACTGGACAAATTTCATCTAACGGATGCGCGAGCGAGAATAGGCGTGGCATTGAAATGGCATGATTTTGGATAACAGCGCTTGAGGCTACTTTCTCCAATAGAATACCATACGATGTGGGCCACACATGCGATACAGGAAACTCGAGATTGCAAAGGAAGTCCTCGCCATTGCTGCAGTAGATGCGGAGTGCTGTTTGATCTAAACAATTAAATAAATTTAATAACTTATTTGTAGTTCGTTTAATGTTTTCTCACCAATCAAGCAAATAGCACTATAGTCTTCATCCTCTTCTGTATCCAACTTTATGTTACTGCTATTATTATTGTTGGTTCGCCTATTTCGGCTGCTAGTTACAAAGGACTTGTTGCAGAAAAACGCAAATTTGATTGGTGACTCGCAAGTGAAGCACAAGCGTGGCATTATACTATTATCGTCAAGCAGGCCTGAAAGAAAGACGTTTTGAATGTTAAAAATGAGTTTACCTTACAATCAAAATCACCTTTTGTCCACACTGCTGTATGCTTTTTTACGTATAGTTCCTCTTCGGAATTGACCAAGTACTCGCACATGTAATCAACGTCTGCATAGGCTGCGCGCTGTTGCTGCAATAAATATTCGGCGCTTCCACTGCTACTATTGTCATTCGACTTTTCATGGTCAGTTCTATTTTTTTGCCCATCTTTTTGTTGATTACACTGATTGGTATGCACTCCGGTTTTATCGTTTAAGTCCTCGAAAATTTCTCGTACACACCAGAATTCGTTATGCTCATCTGAAGCGGAAATGTTTACATTTTGCATGCGTTGTAGCAGCACATGCTCGGTAGGCAAGTGGTTGTGCTGTTTTACATCAGTGGGACCTGGATGCTCCTCAACCGCCTGACGACCCCGAGGAATGAACTCCTGCAGGCAGAAAGGTGGTTACTTGCCAATAGAGATTTTTGGACGATTGTGGGCCACTTACCAAAGGTTCAGAGGCGGCAATCATAACTTCGCTAGTTTCATCCAGATTTGCAAAATTTGCAGTTTAAAATGTTGTAAATAAATTTTAGACGTTTTTTTGGCTTTACTACGGTGAATCCGATTGAAAATACCGCGAAATTATTGTTTCTAAAAATTATTGGTTGCTTTTTTCTATTCTCCCGGCAAAAGCGGATCGGATTTGCTAAACAATTTTTGTAGCTCTGTTCCATTTGTATTTTTGCAAATTAACCCGTGTACGTTGCATGGGAATGTGGAGTGCACTTATGCGAAATTTGCTTTATTGTTTACGGTATTTTAATTTACGCAATTTAACATGCATACAAAGGCGTAAATTAACCTATTTTGACTTGGCAGTATAGGTGGCGAAATGTCAGGAGCGAAAAAGGATTAACGACAAGGCATAAGTGCAAAATACGGCTCGTTAAGTTAGAAAAAAATTAGAAAGTGGGCGTAGTCCGCCTTTCTTGCTGATAAAATTTTTTTGGTGCAAACTTATATTTACGGGGCTATGGAGTGCCAAAAGGGGGAATTTTCGAAAAACAAATACGAACAAATATTTCTGCATTTTGCTTAAGTTGACATATTAAGTAATCATTGGGCATTTTTTTTTAGAACATGCTAATTTAATTTAAATTTAAGTCTGGACTAACTGCGCTTTAAAACTTCATAACCAGAGAACGTACGTTCTCTTCCCTATTAAAATCAGCAGCGCCATCTGAAGCAAATTTTTGTTGTGTGAAAAAATTCGCGCCAAAATTTACGAATTTGATTGCAAAGGAAATGTTTACAAAAACACGGGCTCTACGCTTTTACCACTGATTCGCTTATCTGACGTTTCATCATCGGGTACCTTTTCGCATTTTTATACTTTTGCCTTCTACAGCTTTCTTAAATTATTGTAAAAATTTTCAGCCTGCTTTCGGAATCAGAAATTCTATTGGAGTGGACTGGCTGATTTGAAGCAGTGACAAAAATCCGTGAAACAGTCATCGGGCGAGTTTCCACAAAAAGAGGAGTGCGCTTATGCCGAAGAGTTGTTGAATTCAAGTGAGAATAGCTGGGGCTGCTGATAATTGATTCATCCATTCTTGGTTTGTTATCTAAGTGCAACGCAAAATGTAAAAACAATGGACTAGTGCGCAATACGTAACAATCGCAAAGACAAAGTAGTCGGAAGCGGAAGTAAATGCTAAGATACGCAAAACTAAAAGTTTAATAAAGTGGATGCTCTTGGTTCCATAGGATATTCCAAGATTTATTTCGTAGAAATAACATGTACTATAAATTCTTACATATATAGGCACGCATATGTAAAGCTGAAGTAAAAGTCTGTAGCTGTAGGGCTGTTACAATCATCAGCAGCTGCTGTCAGTGTCGACGCCCACAAATCGTTCGCTCGCTGTACACTGATGTCAATTACTTCAACTTGTTGCCCACTATTGGGTTTACAGTTTGCAAACTATTACTGACGAAGTTCTTAAATCTAAAAGCGTTCGCTGGAAAAGAGGTCAAACAATGCCCAAACAAAAAACATGTATAATCCTCGCAATACAAGAACCTATGTTGGATAAGCGGCAGGCGAACATATGTATAAGACAAACGTGGGACACAGCACCTGCCGTCATGCACAATTGACAACAACAAGCCATAAAACAAGGTCGTTTGTACATTGCGTGTAATCAACGTTATCAAATATTAAATAGTAAAGTATTTTAAAACAACCGATTACTACCGCACAAGACAAACGGCTAACCACCTAACCTCTGTGGCACATCGCAACACGTTAGCTGCTAGGCTGCCACAAAATGACCCTTGATCGGCCGTTGTTTCCCATCGATCCGCTGCCTGCGCCCTCAGCGACAGCTACGCTGTTGACGGCGCCGTCATCATGGCACATAATAACCAGCGGAAATTTAACAACACGCAGTGCATTCCTTCTAGCTACGCGCGCAATACGCCTATTGCAACTCAATTGGAAAGTAATCACCTCCGCTGCACTTCTGACGCTCTTGGCCATCGCTTGGTACTACCCGGCATTTTTCTTTTTCTTCATATTTGTCGTCTATTCGTTTTTTCTGCTATTGGCAGGTGAGTTTATTGCGTTTGCAACAAACGCTGGGATGTAACGCCGCACTAGTTTATGCGATATGCGTATGTTTATTTGCTTTTGCATTGATTTTGATAAGAAATTCGTTTTCTTATCAGTCGGAGACCGCTCATTAACGTCCTTCTGTAGGCCACATACATTTGTACTTAAATTGTAGAGCTGCAAATTAAAAAGGAGGGGCGCCGTCAGCTAAGCGTTGCTAACGCAATTATCTTATTTATATAAATACATGCACATATGTATGCATGCATGATACATGTATCATGGAATGTATGTATGTACATATGTATTAAAATTATTTTTCAATTTTCAGCTGTCGCAAGCACTGTGTATGTGCACTACATCTTCAATAGCACAGAGGCGCCGCCACCTAAACGTGAATCAACACATATTCTGCACAATGCAACCAAGTAAGATATACATAACTGAATTTATTATTCTAGGTATTGCATTTAATTCTTTCATTTTACAGAAGCAGTATTTTCGATCTGCCCAATCCCATTAAGAATGCATCAAATTTACCACTTATTTTTGGCAAAACAGTTGACTTGCAGCTGCAGCAGATAATTGAATATGTACTGAGAGACTTTATGACCCATTGGCTGGGGTAGGTACAGAACTAATTACCGGTATTGCTAATAATATTGGGGAAACCTCAAATTTTGGCATGTTTTTATGAATCATCTCCCCAAATGTTGTAATGTAAACATTTAAATTTACGGTGAATCACCGATGGATAAAATTTATAATATAAACTTTCTTATCGCTTTTGTTTATTCTTTCATCTGACACAATTTACACAATTTCAAATATTTATCGTGAACCCATCAACGTATCACTTTAGTCATGTGGTTACCCAACCGAAATTGATGAATGATATTGTGCGTGAGGACCTTTGGAATGCCATACAAAAGCTACACGACAGAGGTGTGAAAATCGATGCAGCTAAGATCATAGCTGTTGATATGGTGAATCGTGTAACAGTGCATTTAGAGAAGATTCGAATAGCTGAAGCAAGAGCGTAAGTTTAACTAGAAAAAAAATTATTTACAACGTTTGCATGAAAACATCTTGTGATCATGTCGTGATATCACAGAACATGTTGTTAAATCACATCGTTGACATTATACCTCTTAAAATGCACTTAATGTTTCTTTTATGATAAGAATTGCGGACAGTGAACTGAGTATAATGTTTAAAAATTTTATGTAATTATTCAATATTTTTAAAAATACATTTACTTCGAAACTAACTCGGAAAATACATGCATTTCATTCCATTATTGTTATCTATCATAAGTTGGCTGTAAGGAAACTTAAAAGTAAAACAAATTTTCTTCCTTCTGTACCAGCGCTGAAACCGGCAATCCAATTGTGTTCTCCACCAATTCTTATCTAGTGGACGAGGAAATTGAATTGAAGTTCTTGCGTCGTCTTAGCGAAATTATGATAATTCTTTTACTGCCACGTGGCTACTCACTACCACCGCTTAAAGTGCTGCTCAGCGAAATACTATCTTATAAAAGTTTGTATATACTTAATTACTTAAAACCAAAGAACTAGCAAATTTTGTTAATAATTCATACCTCTTCTTCAGTATTCTTTCCATTGATCAAGATGCTCACCTCACCGGACTACATTAATCAGAAAATTGTGCAAAATATAGAGACACGTCTGGCAGCAGCTGCCATTAGTAAACGCAGCTACGAGTATGCAGCCAGCTTCGAAGATTTTCTGAAAGTCATAAACAATGCTGGCAATTTGGAAGAGCTGTCGCTGATACGCAAGAGCATAGTGAATGACTTGATGCATGCGACAACAATGCAGAATTTGCAACGTGCCAAAGGTGGGTGGATAAGATATGCTGAGTTGAGCTGGGGGGGTGAAACTTGTACAATGAAATTAACATTAATATAGGTCTTGATCCAGACACGGACGATCACAGCCTGTCAAAATCCGAAATGAATGCTGCAGTGCGTCTGAAACGCTATGTACAACAGCTGACATTTGCAAAAGGGCAGTGCGAAAAGAATTTAGCCAAGTATGGTTGGAACGGAAATTATACCAGTGATGCGGTAAATTGACGTACAAATTTTGTTGGCAAGAATGTACTAACAAATTTTGCTTTCTTCGCTTATCTAGGACTTAACGCTAATTGAAGTTCTGAGCACCGCTATTGGTCGCCGTTACTTGACCATTTTTTTGGAACCCCTTAAAGCCAGCGCCCTAGTCGGCTTCTATTTAGCTGTTGAAGAATTAAAGCATTCGCACAAATCTTCATGGCATCAGTTGGGTACCGAAATCTTTTACACTTACATACGTGTGCCAAAGCCGGAGATACAAATCGACAAACATGAACGCAAACTTATAGAAACATTTCTGTTGGGTGATACAGGACCCGATATATTCTACGACATACAGAAGAATATCTTAAAAACACTAGAAGAAAAGTATTATGCCTCATTTGTGCTGAGTGAACAGTATCGGCAACTGCGTGAGGCGCTTAATTCTGATGATTTCAAAGATCCCACCTTATTGCTACGTACAATCAATGGCAGCGATGCTTCTTCGGATGAGTCAAACACAGCGTTGGAGGGCGCTGACGGTGCTAATGCAACATTAGATGTAGCGGCGCATACATCGTATGCGCGTCGTAAGCTCGAACAGCTACAGGAGCGTATAGATAAGAAGAGTCAGGCATTGGATGCGTTAAAATGTTCGGTGAAGCCTGAATCTAAAGTTTTGCAGATTTTGGAGAAGGAAATGGAGTGGTTGAAAAATGAAAAGCGACAAACGGAGACACATCTCAAGCGCACCGATGCGTGGACGGAGCACTTAGGCAAGTGGAAGGCGACGCTGCAGAGTGTAGAGGTGTGTGGGTGTCTAGATAAAATTTTTAGTATTCAATATTTTGCTTTTACCTGTGAATAAAAAAATTATTCGTATGTAGATTTCTGATGAAAAAGAGTCACTACAATTCATGATACTGGTGCATGTGGACGAGGATATCAATGTGCCGCGTGCAGCTAACAACAGCAGCGGTACAGATAAACCCGGTGGGCTATATGCGCGACCCGGTGCTATATCAAGCGGTTGGGTGGTAATGCGCTCTCTAAATCAAGTGCATGTAAGTGGCTGGGAATGAAACCCCCTATTTTTGGTTTATGTATTCAAAATTATACCTGTTTTTTATGTCACTTTGTAGGAGCTGCAACGCAAATTGCGACACGTAAACTCAAATATAAAATCACTCGATTTGCCAACAAACTTTAAGTTTTTCTTTTTGAAAAATGATCGAAATGCACTCGAAAAAGCTAAAGGACAAATACAGAAATTTTTGAATGTAAGTGCTACAGCAAAGTATTTTAAAAATTAGATTGTTTTTTTACAAAAATAAAAAATTGCTATGAATTAACAGTTCATACTAGAAGATGATCACCTGAATGGCAGTGAGGCTATTTACAGCTTTCTTAGTCCCAGTTCGGATCACCTAAAACAGACATTACCTTCGCCGAAAAAATCCAAATTCTCACTATCCACCTTATTCAAAAGCGACGCTGCGAAAGCCGGTGACATGAGTAAAGCTAATGATCCCTTTTGGGGCTTACATCGAGAAGATGAGGACATTTCCACTTATTTGGAAGGTGATCCGGCTGTAGACTCAAAACTGTTGGCCGATTTGGATAGCAAAGATTCGATAGCAGAGCCGCTGTATGCTTTGCTAGGCGAAATTTTCGATATGGGTGGTCTCTTCAAATGGCTGCGTAAAAGCTTGATCTCATTTGTTCAAATCAGCTATGGCAGAACAATAAACAGGTATGGCGAGTGTAGAGAAATAAAGTAAAAGTTTAAATAAAATAACGAAAATAAACTAAATTACATAAAATAACGAAAATAAAATAAACGAAAAAAAATTTGTTCCATAAATATTAAAAATCCCTTTTTCGCAGGCAAATTCGGGAATCGGTGGCGTATTTGTTTGAGGAATCGATGTTACACTACTACTTCTCAGCCATTTTAAAATCCTTTTGGCCCGGCGGTGTTCTGGCTTCCTCATATCCCGTGCGTTCCGAGGATATTAAAGATATGACACGCAATGCTGCAAAGGATTTGTTGATGGACAATATACCTGAGGTGCTGTGCAATTTAGTGGGCGCACAAACTGCTAAACACGGTGTGCTAAAGGTTTTCGAAGCCATGCAGAATCCCACGTACAATAAGCAATTATTCTATGTACGTGATAAAAACTTTCGTAGTTGAGTTTCTAAGAAAACACGCTGAAAGAAACTGAATACCAATAAGAACAAACTTCATTGAATCATTTTAAATATATTTTCCTCTTCGCAGGAGCTGCTTGAAATTCTTATGACTGAATTTTTCCCTGAAATACGGCAGTTAAAGTTGCCTGGTGTGAAATCTTCAGCCCAGCACTCGTCCGCAACCGCAACCGGCACTACACCAAATCCCAATCATGCCGTCACATCGCTGGTCACAACAACTACAACGACAGCAGCTGCTACGGCAGCAAGTTGTAGCAGTCATAACAACAATCAGCAAACAGCACACCAACAACAATCAAATGAAAAGCTGCAGCCATTAAAATTTCAACAGCATCATTTTGCAAGCAATAATGGTAAATAGTTAGATTGCTGTTGACCAGCTAGAAATTTAGTAAGAGAGTAGTAAGAAATCTTTTACAACCGTAAATTGTTACCCCAGCGGGCATTACACATGCATATGTATTGTCTGAATGACAGGTAACGACCAACGCCTTCGGAAATTTAGTTGGTAATGTTAAGAAGATGTGATTTTTCGAAACGTTTTGTGCTAACTGCGCTAAATTCATTACAATTTATGAATATGTTTGTGTGTGCTATTTAGTATTAGTTAAGAGCGAATATTATTATGTTAAAAGTTTGCGTAATACAATTTCTGTGAAATATGATAAAGTTCTTTGCAAAGATATGATTTGTATTAATTAAGTTTTATTTTGATTTTTAACCTTTAAATTTTTTCTTTTATTTTTCATTAAGTATGCCTTTATATCTAACTATGTACAATTGCATACAAACTAACATAACAAATTTTTTATACAACTACTAACCAGTATTAGTTAAGAATCTTTTGATTTTCAATTGGAAAATGCTTTAAAAAATATACGAACAAAACAATGACATTCCAAAGATATTTATATGTAGTATATCAATGTTTGCAAAATTTAATAAAAATAATGTTAATATAACGCAATGTATAAGGTTATATGTATCTAGTAAAATTAAATCGGTATAAATTTTGCAAATACAACAAGTAGTTATCCACAAATTATAACAAAATCTAGCAAAAGGACATTTACATAGGTATATGAAATAGTGTTATTAATAGTTATATATGTATGTATGTAAGTGACTATATAAAAAATTGCATGAATAAAATGTGATTTCAGGAAATGTATTTTACACTCAAATAAACACACAACTACAAGCATTAAGGCAGTTTTTGAGATATTTATATATGTGTATGTATGAAAGCCAGTTATTGAATGTAGCCACCTTCTCAAGAGAAATCAACACGAAATCATCTAGGAAAACTGAATAAATACACATACATACATCCCTAAAATGTAACAATTAAGTATGTATGTAGTTGCAATAAACAACATAAATGTTCAATAAGCTCATTTCGTTTCTTATTGTTATTTTTGCAATATGCCACAAACACATAAACTACATAAAACAATAAATGTGAAATATTTGTATGTATCTACATATGGCTGTTTTTATTTATTTTTATCAAAATATATACTGTATAGTATATAGGTATCTGTACACATCTACATGTTCAAAAGCCTACAATAAATAATACGTATGTATAAATGGTGCATATATGTATATGTGTAAAACATGCAACCCACAATGTCACATTCTATGTAAATAGGGAATAAAAGCATAAAATGTATGTAAACTTTTACCAAAACTGTGTTTAATTAACAAATTATTTCGCAGCACTTGAGTGTCGAACAAAATTTACATATGTATATAACACTAATTATAAAAGTTTATTAATATGTATGTATGTATGTATTTGGTATTTTCGTACAAAAAAAAAAAAAACAAAGCAATTGGCATACAAATGCGGCATATCGATTTAATTGCCCTCCATACTTTGTTTTAATGCTCCTTTCTGTAGCTCGCCCTCTGTCTTGCTCTCTCATTTATCCGAATCCACGCCTGCGTCGACGAAATCGTTGAGCAGCCGCATTGCATTTCGTGGCAACAGACGTCCGATTTTGTCTATATATAAATATTCACGTGGAATACTCGCATGCTCGAGGCTGGTACGTTGTGCTTTAATGATGCTAGCTGCCGCATCTGTGGGCTTAACAAGCTTGAATAGCGCAGGGAAGCGGTAATGCGGGCGCTTGCAGAGACCTGTATCTACCATGTAAGGGTAGATGGTGGTCAGTTTGATCTGTAATTAAGAGAAAAAGAAGGAAGGGTGTTTAATATTTTTGGGTTTTAAAGTACTCTGTTGATATTTCGTGCAGGGATGTGGACCGGATGAAAAATTTGATTGGCGCGGTTCAGTGGTTCGACCCGTTTTTGAACTTTTGTATTGGTTCCTCAAAATGGGTTTTTATTGTCTTTGAATGAAAAAAAAACTTTCCAACCAAATTCTGAAGCAGGACATTCTTGAAGAGTTTTCTGAGATAGAGCCTTATCGAACTGGCTGCCGAGATAGGTCGATCATCCACTCAGGTGTTGATTTG